AACAGGCTGGGAAGGGTGCTGGGCTGCTCCCGGCCGCTTCCCGGCGGGATGCATCACCCCAAGGGGGTCTCGCTGCCGCGCAGCGCCCCAGTTGAGCATCGGGCGTCTCTGGCAGGAGGAGAAGGCAGCTTACTGCAATGGGTTGCTAAAACATCAAAATACGGAACAGATTTGAGCGGCTCAACATGTTTCAACAGAGAACAATATTCCCTGCTAATTAATCAGCCTGGCAAATGAACCCAGGCAGGAAGAAGCCCTTCCAGCACACTCGCGCTCAGCGCTTCGTTCCTGGCAAAACGCAGGAGAACTCCCCGTGCGCTTTTCAGTCGCAAAGCGAGTCCTTTAGAGGGCAAAGACGAAGGCAGGAGGGGCTCTGCCGCCAGCCAGACGTTACCTTCGGGCTAAGAAAGGAACAAGAGACAGCAGCCATTACCAATCCCCCAATTCTGAATGGAGGAATATCACCTTAGGGGGTTAAACACCAGCAGCGTTTTACTTCTTCACCTTTTCCGTGGAACCACCGCTGTTTTAAACTACTACTGCAGCACCGAAAGAGAGAGATTCAGCTCTGCTGCACGACGTTTCTCTTCTGAGAGTAAAGCTCAGCTCTTCCGCTAATGGCCACAACTACCCGAGTCGCGCAGATTAACAGCATTTATTTCACAAACATCGTCGGGCGTAACCGAGTCTTAACAAGATGAGGGATCAATTGCTCCCCTCGACTGATGGCTGTCATAGAACCACGGAATGGTTTGGGTTGGCAAAGCCCTTGAAGCTCCCCCAGCCCAACCGCCCCCCTACCCCTGCCATCCCACCCCCAAACCCTGGCCCTCAGCACCGCCTCTGCCCGGCTGTTAAATCCCCCCAGGTCACCTCGCGGACCCCCCCACAGCCAGCAGTGGCCAACAGCACAATTACACACGAATTTCTTGTCTGCAAATAAGCCAAGTGCGTTGGGAGGGGCTGCCCCCTTCATTCCAGAGGTCGACCGCCAGTTACGGAATAACCTGTCACAATCTGCTGCCATTACAGGCAGCTGGGTTTTCTTTCTTTTAACAGCAATTTTAGAGGATGAAACGCACTTTGCCAACGAGGTTCAGATCAAGCAGGAGGTTTTCAGCTGAAAGGAATGAAAGCCTTCCTTTAGAGAATGGCTTTCGCATCTCCGGGAGGTGCATTAAAGAAAAAAAAAAAAAAAAAGTGCTTAATTATTTACGTCCTACTGACCTGGTATCAGCTGAGGCGCCAACACCACTGTGGGAAGAGGCCTGGAGGCAGCAGCTGGCCTGGCTATGGCCATTGCGACTTGATTTGCCATTAAGAGAGGCTTCTCGTTTCCCTGGAAGAGTCTGGATTCCTCAGGATGTATCCACGCTGAATCCAGCGCAAACGCATTATTCAAGTATATCTGTCGAACACAAACAAATAAAAGGACGTCAAGGTTTGAGCCACAAAACTCAGAAATAAAAGCGAGAATACAGTCTCTTTAACTCCGTATTAACACGCAGACAGCATCTCAGCTCAGGGACGGACTCGCACAAACGCATTGACTCCTGCTCCGCCAGCGGTGCGGGCCGAGTTCAGCCGACCACCTGAAAATTAACTGGCTTTTAGGGCGACTCGGCAGCTGAGGCAGCATCGCAAAAAGAAAATTAAGAAGAAAGGCTGAGGGCAGCTGCGTCCCAGACACAGCTCCTCCGAGCAAGCCCACCTGCAGCCCGGGGGCATCAGCCGCCCCCCGCGTGGGAGAGGTGGGGTGCGGGAGGGAAACGGGCTACAGTCACAAGGCCTGCTCTTAATTTTTCAGCTGGGGTAGGTAACTGTGGCCAGGACAGGGGCGCTGGGACCCCGAGCAACACCCCGGCATGGGGACGTGGCAGCGTCGCGGTGACGCCAGCACCATCCCACAGCATCCCTTCTGGGGAAAAAACAGTGGAAGCACCGAGGAGAAAGGGATAAATGGAAAACTCTCATAATCACATCCTACAGCAAACTGCGACCATCCCGCTCCACGTCATCCAGGTAAACAGTGAAGTTATTTTTGCCTTTTTGTAACTTGGGAAAGGCGAAGATGCTGAAGCAGCCCCCTCCCTTCACCGCCCCTTACAGCATTCCTCCTCCGCGGGGTTTTGCCTGACAAGCCACCGACCTTCCGCACGCCTTCGCAATCCACAAAACCCCAAACATTTCTCAGCTCGTACGCCTCCGACACTTGAGCCTTAAAAACACCCCAACGTGCCAAGATCAGACTCACTTTGCAGTTCGGCAGCCTTTTATCGATCCAGTTTTTCCCAGCGTGAGGCGGAACCGTAGAGGCGTACACAGGTGGAAAAACGGGAACAAATTCCACGCTCGAAGAAGGTGAAAATCCTATGACCGGAGAATGGGCTCCAAAGATCCACTTCGGGGAGAAAAAACAGGGAGAAGAGTTAACGAAAGGATTTTGCCCCGAGCAAACCGACGCTTTCCACGATTTCCTAGCATGGAAAATTTCAAACGCGTCTCGTCGGTCCAGCAGCCGTTTGTGGGTTTTTAGGCATCAGACGGCGAAGCGACACACGGCACCGACGTTCCCAAACTGCTTTGGAAAGGCGCGGATCGGGAGCCGGGCAGCAAAGCCGTGCTTGGCTAATGGCTGCTGGTCGCCAGGGAAGCTGGGGTTTGCTCCGCTCAAACAGAAACCTCGCACACAAAACAAAAACAGCCCCGGAAAGCGTTTTTAAAATTCATCTGGAGGCGAAGGGGAAGCGAAGGGAATGCCGGAAACGTGTTTTCTCTTAGCTGAAATTCGTTTGGCAAATGGGTTCCCACAGTCAAACCACCTCTGCAGTTTATTTAAGTGGTCTCACACGGGGGAATAATTGATGTTACTGTTTCATTAGACCCAGCACTACCTATTTTCTCCCTCCCACTCACTCCGCTCCCGAGCCACAAGAGACGCTCGTGCTCGAAAAGGCTGGAAATCTTCACATGAAACCAAGCGGGTACTACGGCGCTCGCATCTCTGCTCGGTTTTTACTTCTGGCTTGTAAAAAATAGAAGGACAAGGCAAAAACTACGAGCAGCGCTCCGGCTGTCTCCGCTGCATCAGGACAGACGCTCCAGCCGGAACGCTTCACTGTTTCAAGCGGCCTCACCGACAGCGATGAAGAATTGAAATATTCACCGGGGAAAGCGCCGGTGAGACAGCCTGGCTCAACTGGCATGACTCAAAACTTTAGTCTTTATGAATATTCAACCACAAAAAAATCAAAGCCCCCAAACCCCCTGAGCTTACACCGAGGGTTTTTCTCCCTTCCCTGTCTCTGCCTGCGCCCGCCAGGGGGAAACCGCCGGCGAGACAGCCTGGCTCAACTGGCATGACTCAAAACTTTAGTCTTTATGAATATTCAACCACAAAAAAATCAAAGCCCCCAAACCCCCTGAGCTTACACCGAGGGTTTTTCTCCCTTCCCTGTCTCTGCCTGCG